ACAGAGCCTGTAGACCCCAACAGAACCTTTAGACCCCAACAGAACCTTTAGACCTCAACAGAGCCTGTAGACCCCAGTGACCATTGCTCAGGGAGGAGTTCTGTCCATTATTCAGGTGGACCTGCTGCCCAGGAAGACCAAGAGGCATCTGGAGCCAGTTTCTTCAGATCTGCTGTGGGATGGACTGCTGCAGGAGATCCTTCCTGCCCACAGCCATCAGCATCTATAACAACTCTTTAATGAAACCAGGATAATGAGCTATGACAACATTTAATTTCCCTTTGGGATTAATAAAGTATTTTGTATTGAATTTTTCCTCAGTTTCATGGTGAAAAGGACCACAAACCTTTACCAACTGGAAGGAAATTGAACTTTGTTAAGAGAAAGGAAATAATTGACACAGTTCGATCACTGCCAGGTTCCAGGAGATTTTGGGAAAAATTCTCGGGTGGGATTTGAACTGCAACGTAACATATTCAGTTCATGGATTCAGGTCACATGACCACTTTTTAGTGACAATTTTTTTAAAGAAAAGCAACTCATATCACATTTTTATTCTCAAGAATGGACTTAGATTAACTAAAGGCAGGAAAACAAAAACAGTAAACCCAACAAATCAAAGGAACTGAAGGCTTTTCTGATAATACGGTAAATGATTGTGAAGGTTTGATAGTTTTGGAACTATGGATAACACCTAATCCTGGGTGTGACAAGCATTGATGTTAGCAGAATGTTTTTTTCAGTCCTCTGATGAGGATCAGGATTTCAGATCATGACCACATCGTGTCCTGCTAGGAGAACATGTCCCCCAAAATCAGAGAGCAAAAACAAAACTGAATCAACCTGAATATTGCCACCATTTTATTCAGTGAGTGAACAAGACAAAGAGCAGACATTTCCTCTGCCTTTAAAGGTCAATTGCACGCCTGATGGAGCCAATCCTGGAGCTTATGCCACTCCACTCCATGAAGCTCCTGTACTGGCCCGGCCTCACGTAATAATTGTGCCCCCTGTAGTTGGGCTGTTCATACAGGAACCAGTGGCCCTCCATCACAGTGCACGAGTTGAAGTTCTGGAGGTGGAAGCGACCCATGAGGTTTGAACAGTCGTCCATCAACTCCATCATTTCGCCGCCCATGTCGAAGTGTTCATACAGACGAATCCTGAAGTTGCCGCTGTGCTGGCAGAAGACAAAGAAGCATAAAGATCAGTTTATTATCGTTGATGGGTTTAGCTGGGACAGCTGTTTGGTACACAAGGATCTTAGGGTTAGGGCTAAACACAACCTTTTTTAAAGCTATAGTTACAACTCCTGCCTAACCTACAACCCCAAGCATGGCAGGCATAACAACAACAGTTAAATATTTCCCGCTTGTATTTGTGACACTAGTTTCTCAACCACAACAAACTGGGAGGTTGGCACAGATTGTACAACTTTAATTCAGGAAGATCAAGGGTTCAGGGGGATGCCATCATCCAATGAGCAACCTTGGTTGTGTAACAAGTAAAAGACAGAAATGAAGCCACACTGGCTTAGATGTTGTCTGGATGCCAAGGTCCACTTCAGATGTTGGGTAACCAGGACATTCTGATAGGAAATGGGCTACAGGAGCATCACATTCATGGTTGAGGGCAGAGGATTTAACTCTGTTGGAATGCTACTATGCAAGCAAGCCTAGAGAGGGGGACTCCATAGGTAGGTTGTGGGAACTATGGAAATGTCAATACCCATCATCCAGACTGACTCAGAAACGACTTCAGACCCAGTTTCCAACATTTGAAAGACAGTCCTGCTATCACATCTAGGGACTGATGAGGCCCAACAAAGCACTACATCAAGGGGGGGGGCATGATGTCAAATCAGGGGGAATATACAGTCCATCACCTTCATTATCCAAGTATGGGTACCAGACCTCGTTAAAAAGCCCCAAGGCACTGAATACAAGGGTAGGTGACCTAAGAATGAAGATCATGTCCAAGTGAGGCACTAACCTGCACCCCTTGTCAAGGCTAACTGGCAATATACTTTCTGAAAATCTTCTAAAGAAGGTGAATGCAGCATCACTAAACGTCCCTACTGGTGTCATCACAAAGACCAATAAAATGGTTATACCACACCAGCAATGGTCTTTGAAACACTTGGCTATAAAAGTAAGGCTATAACTACTAAGGAGCATTGCTCCCCCAAGTAGGAGGAGTTTGAAAGCTTAGCTCGAGGCAACATGGAGAAGCTTAAGACTTTCCTTTCTGATAAATCCTATAGTTAGGGTTGACTTGGGTTCCCTGAGATATTCTGCTGCTTTAGGCTTAGGCAGGAATGCTTGGTTTTTAATCTAACATAGGACTTACCACTGGGATCACGCGACAGGACCTGACACAGTAACTCATGCCAGTAGTACTCATGTAGTCCCCCCTCCTCATGAAGTACTGGTTTCCAGTGAAGCCGGGCCGGTCGTAGACCACAAACATGCCGCTCTCCACTCGAATGGAGCGACAGTGATGAAACAGCAAGTGCAGGTCAGCACAGTCACTCATGCACTCGTAGTAACGACCTCCGAAGTTTCTGTCCTCGTAAAAAACGATCTGAAAAACAAAAACAGGTTCCTGTCTGTGTTTCTTCGTGAACACCCGAGGTGAAGCTGAATACAGACCTTTCCCACCATGGCTGCTCTCGAGGATCAAATCTATACCTGTTGTGTTCAAATCACCTGTTCCAGGAGGTCCTATATATCATTCTGTGTAAACAGCTGTGGTTGTTGTTATTTAAATGAGGCCTGGACTTCTGGTTTGGAACAGAAACAGGGCCTTTTCCAGCAGGAGCATGAACTGATGCCAGAACCATCAGGACCAAGTCCATTCACACATTCTGTGTATCCAGGACTAACGCTCGAGTTTTAAACCGATCTCACTAAAAACAAAACAATAAAACATTGCCAATATGGATTATAGACATGTTCAATTATCATATTGTCTTCTCTTGGTCCACACCCCTACAACAAGCACTTCTGAACATTCTCTGGTGTTTAGTTGTCTTTATTAAAGCTCTTGTATGATAAATACGATCAAGACAGACCAGTCTCTGTCCGAGGGTCCTGTGAGGTTTCAAATGCATCGAGACATTGCAGAAACAAACCCAGTGTCCTGTTTTACTTCCCATTTGAACCTTCTGAGACCCGAGCTTTTGTTTGGTGCATTTTTTCTTTCTCAAAGGAACATGGGATTAGTAGGACCTACCAAGTTAAATAACTAGACTCTGTCGTGGTACAGGAAGTGGCTATATATAAAAAAAGTCCTCATAGGAGGACAGTAGATTTATTTGCATTTTATATTTTTCTTAATAAATTCAGGTCAGAAGGTCCCAATAACTCTAAAAACAAAATGTCAGCTTTCTATGACAAGCAGCTCTAAAAAAAAAAAATAAAAAAATGTCCTCATATGAGGACACTGGGTTAAAATGGGACGGTTAAAATTCAAAATCACTGCCAATTTTGTTGATCTGCCACATCACTGTACCCGAACTCTGATACTGGTGACTACTGCACACTCTCCCAGCAGATGAGGACCAGTTGCAGGTTCTCCTGCAGGTAACTCAGCTCAGCTGTCTCCACCCTGCTCATCATCAGACCATCAGAGAAAAGATGCTCACATTGCCACTGTTCCATCTGGCTCTCTGAAACTGGGTAGCTGTGGTGTCTTCTAGTGATTCAGGAACTTTTGGAGAGAAGTCGTGATGGACATTTTCTTACAATTGTGTTGACAAAGATTCAAGGCTTCAGCAATGGAGACATCTGGTGGACAGCTAGGTCATGAGGACCTCAAGAGCACGACTGAAGCTTCAGTCACGTGTTGGCAAATTCATTCAACCTTTATTTCTACAGGTAGATCCCATTGAGCCTCGAGGACTCATTTACAGGAGAGACCTGATTTAACAAAGAAAGATGACAACAATAAACAGTTATAAAAAGTCATACTTCAGTTTAGTAGAAACTATACTACTTCTTTACTACTACTTCTTTAGTTAGACACTATTGGTCAGTCATATGCTTTGTTCATTGGTACAAAAGTATGATTACATCTCATTACACATTAAAATAAAGTTTTTTAGACAGATATACAGCAAAGTTCTGTGTTAGAAAGTTAAAACATTTGTTTTTGAAAAACTAATTATATACAGTATATATATATATATATATATATATATATATGGTGTAAAGTATATAGTGTCTCAGCATGTATCATTGCTGAAAGACATCTCCAGCTAGCATCTATAAATAATTATAATTTTGAGACCCGTTTTAAAAAGAAAAATACAATTCAAGTATTAAAACATAAAATAAAGATCCTAGGAATTATTATATTTGGTGGATGAATTGATCCCAAACCTATGAAAGCAGATTACTGAAAATCATCAAACTACACAAAATTCACTTTCCAAAACTGTCTCGGCACAAACCAACATTTTAAAAGTAAAATGATGCATCTTAAGCAGCTTGTGCAGCACCAAAGCATTCAAGTCTGTAAAACTGTGATTCACTTTGAACAGGTGGAAACTTTCTGAGCCAATGAGAGAAATGAAGCAGCGATGACGTCTGAAGCCTCCAATGTCATTCGTCACATGACGGTGGTGTTTTGCTACAAGCTCTGACATGGAGTGATAGATCAGTTACTTTTTACAGAGCTTTATAAATAAAGTTTTGTTATGGGATGGTGGCCCTGGTGGATGGGGCACTTGGTTGGTCTGACAACACATTCTGGTCTGACAGATTCTGGTAGGCCTGAGGCAGAGAGCCTGTGACTTTCAGGGACAGGCAACCAGTTTGTGGCTCTCTGGAAAGATGTGAACCAACCTGCTGCCTGGGACAGAAGATCTCTCTGAAGATGGGGCAACCAAGGTGTCCTCGGCAAGAGTGGTGAAAAGCATCAAAGACAAAGTGGGGCCAAATATCTTCCACAATCTAGGGGAGGTCATAATTGTCGCCAAGTTCATCTACCTGAAGACAGGGTGAGCCCACTGTTGTTTCTTGGAAGCCAGTTGTGACTGAAATGGGAAGCTAAGGCCTGTTCATGTACGCTGTCTGTCCTAACGATGACACGGTGGCACCTCAGTCTTGGCATGAAGTGGCAAGGTGCAAGGAGTACCACTCAGCTCCAGGACATTCATGTGTCCAGTTACCTAGTGACCAGTGTAGGGTCCGTTGATGCCACAACTCCATGAACTGCACACCAGCCTGTTGATGATGGACCACAGGTCCCAGAGTTCACCCTTACCTTAGGTTGTCTGGGTTTCTTCACCAGTTTATTGGGCTATGAAGTCCACCGTAAAGGCACCTCTGGACGGGCTGCATGTCAAGGAGTGCAAAAGGAACTACGTATCAGTGCCATGGCAGCCATCAGGCTCATAAGACAAAGGCAAAGCACCCAGCTGACAGAAGAATGCAGACAAAGCAGGCGGATACACACCTATTCTGTTCTTGGGCTCAGAATGACAGTGGCTGTCCTGGAATCCAAGACAATGCTGAGAAATGTGGTCAAGTGAAAGGATGGAGCTTGCTCTTCTGAAAGTTCAGGCACAAACCCCGAGTGTACTCCAACTGAAGAGCTACATGACAGCGATGCACTGAGTGAATGTCCAAAAACCAGAGCAAGGTCAAACAGCAGAAAGCTGAACTCGAACATTCTGTCCTTGAACCCAAATCCAGGACCCCTGACAGTGTTTCCCCTGGGTCACTGGCCTTGGCAGGGCGCTCATCTTTACGGTGA